GCGAAGGCTGGACTCGAACTGCTGAAGCATTGACCATTTCTGGCCGGCAACTTTCAGCATCATTAAGCCGCTGCGCCACCGTGTCCCCTTTAGATTGAAATACCTAGATGTAAACTGAACTATATGCAAGAGGAGTATCAGTTGGCTGCAGTCCAGATAAACTTGCTGTCAAAAATGGGGTCAGAGCATGTTACAAAGACCTGTTATACAACAGTAAACTTTTTGTAAGAAGAAGGAAGGAAACAGCTTAGGTATCAAACAAAGTATAATTATAAATTTTCTCTTTTGTTCTTGGATCTAAAGGTCTTAAATGAAGTAATGGTCGGTGTGGACTAGCCTATTGCTTTTTCTAAAGTTTTGGGGTCACTAAATATGTTCTTTCTCTTTCAGATCGATTTCCTGGTTGCCATTAGTCCAAACTTCCTGGTGTGCTGGGCATCTGCGGTCAAAGGAGCCTCCTCAGTCTGAGGGCCAAGCCTGAGTCAACAGGGAGGGAAGGAGGGCTAGAAGTGGTCCAAAACAAGCTGGGGAGAAGAGATGCAGTGAGGGAAGCTGAAATTAAATACGGCCCCTTGGAGAGTGGGGCATGGCTAGTACGGAGCAGGTTTGGTGAGTGGGGCTGGGAAGTCAGCAAAATTAGGGAGAAATCCAAGATCAGAATTAAGATCAAAACTGAAAGGATGTGGCAGGCTGAAGAACAACTCCCAAACTTTGCTGCTATAGCTTTCACAGTAACCTATGATAAAGCAAGGTGGTCCTGGGAAATTACTTGATTGTCCTAGCCAGCTGGGGAGATTTCTTCCTAAACCAGATCATTCCCACCACCACCATCTTTTCCAAAGGGTATTCTCCTTCTACAGTTGTATAAGAAAGAAGTGGACAAAAATCAAACAAATAGCCTCTAAGAAAGCTGCCTACCAAAAACAGTATTCTAGGGGGATCTTGCCATTGTCAATGGGAAGCACTGACTTCACGGTGTCCTTCGGGATCCATTGCATTGCAGCAGGGCTGATGCTGCCAACTCACTTCTTAAAAATGTAGGTGAAATAAGAGACAGAAAGAGAGATGGGTTTTCTTCTATTTTCATAATTTCTTAGAGGCTAACTTGCCTTCCCCGTTAGCCACTGTTGCAACAAGTTGTTGCAACAAGACACAGGTATGTCTCTTTCTTCTGAGGATTTCAGAGGATGTGCGCTGGCTCAGTGTTGTGGCTTTTAATTACTGTTTTGCTGGGCTCGGTGATTGAAGAGCCTGGCGCCTAGGTGCGATTATCCCGTCTCCCCCGGGCGTCGGTGGCGACAGTTGCCCGCTAGGTGGCGCTACAAGGTAAGGCCAAGAACGCAGCCACAAAGCGGTCCCTTTCGAGACCGTGTTTCCTAAAGCGGGGGGCGAGTGGGCGTCAGATCCAGACTAAGCCCCCCCCCCCCCC